CAAAGATAGTTTAGATTCATCCTGACAGTTAGTGTGATTCCAAAGTCAACTACACAACGTGAGTGCTAGATGTCAGATATATATATTTTTTACACCGGTTTGCGGACAAGCATGGTGCCAACACCAAAATAATAATAACGATAACAATAACCGGAGGGGAAGTTGGGATACAGAACAGGAAAAAGATGGAACTGTTAAAATGGGAAATAGAAACTAAATGGAATGACAACTTTTTGTGTTAGTTTCTTTTTTATGGGGCACGGGATTTCGACAGGCAAACCGTACAGCATTCGCGCCACTGACTTCTATTCTGGGCCATACCTCTTAGCGTCTCTAACCAACGACAATCCTCATCTCTTGGGCCCCAACCTGGAAGGCGGGCTGCATCAATCGAGGCGAGAGCTGAAGCTAGCTTCTTCTTACCTCTACGACAGGTCATGGTCTGACCGACGCGTCGCTTCTTCCAGCCTTGCTCAGCACGTGCAAAGAGAGCATGAGAAAGTAGTCGATGGGCAGGCATAGGCAATACGTGACTAAGCCATCGGAGGCGATGTAGAGCGATCACTTGTGTTAGAGGACAATTATCCACATCCAACACACGACGAAGGACCTCGTCATTGCTCACCCGGTGTTCCCACCAGACACCAGTAATGCTTCGGAGATATCGGTGGTTAAACAACGAAAGTCGATTGGCATCCTCAACGCAGGTCTCGCAAACGTAAAGCAAAATGCTACGATCTGCGGCGATGTACACCCTTCACTTAAGGGACAGTCGGATGTCATGGTGGGGTCATAGATGTCGCAGGTTAGCGAAAGCTGGTCTAGCTTTCGCTTTTCGTCATGTGATCTCCTCCCCAACACTCCCCGCGCCCCCCCCCCAGCTGCGATCAAGCTCCCGAGGCGCTTGAGGCTCTCAACTACTTCTAGCTGATCGCCACAGATGGTGAATGCAGGCACAAGCTCCTGCCAGTCTTGAACAAGCACTTCGCACTTTGAAGGTGCAAAGCACATGCCATACCTGGATACGTCGATCGCCAAGCGGTTTAAAGCGTCTTGGACTGCCTGCGTGCTTTCACCCAGCAAGGCGATGTCATCGGCACATTTCTAAATCAAGAACTCTGTTCCCTGGGAGGAGTTCGACTCCACCGTTTGCTAGACCGGACAAAGCGTTTTGCAGAACATCCTCCATGTCAGATCGCTTGACACACACATACACAGTCAAGTGCAAGGATGAGACTATATCCGGAAAACATAAAGTGATCATGAAAATGGAGTCGGCTACGCGCGGTTCAAGGAAGGTTTCAATGTTTCAACGGTTCGAGCTAAACTAGTTTGTTGATGGCTTTAATAGTATTAACGGCATTGAATACGACTGAGTCAAGAGGAGACTATGATTTTTGTCATTCTGCTGGCTTCTGATTTGCCTACCTTACCAATCAAGCTCTGATTGATTTACCCTTAGGGGTGAAAATAAGAGACACTTAGTGTGTGTTTGAGAAGTGAAGCACCCGGCAAAGGTCTTGAGTCTCACGCACCTAGACCCCGGACGGGACAGCATTCGATTGTTCAACATGGGCGGATGGTCTATTTCGCTATGCAAACATTTCATCACTTGCCGACATTTTCAGTGCTTGGGAACTGGCAGATATCTGTTCTTGTACGGAGAAAGCTATGAGTCACCCGTTCTGCTAACGAGGTTTTTGATCAGTTAGTTGCTACTCCACAATTAGATATACCCGAGTGACTTCTCGAGGAGAGTAAGTGGATAGTTAAAGGTGAAACGATCTAACGCTACGTTTCCGGTCTTGCAAGAGTGAACTTATTCCGGTGGCGTCTAATTATTGACCGTTCCGATATGATTGGATCACTGGCTGTAGGAAGCTAACCGGGCATTGCATGCTTGTTTACGTAGGCACGCAGGTCATCGCACTCTGCATCAAGGCACGACCAGTCAAAACAGGGTACTCTCAACATTTGACAGATACTCTGACAATACACACGGGAACCATATTAGCCAGATCTAATCAATCCTGAAGCATCTGTAATTAAGAAATATGAAATGTTTATGTTACATTACTAAAGGTAAACATTTTTAGAGAAAAGAGAAATTGATCACTTCCTACGGTTTTCACACACCACCCCACTACTTTGCGGATCAGGCTTTGGTTAGCCGAAGGCTCCGGTTGTATATTCCACAGGAAAATTCACCTGCCTTGACCTGGGCAACCTGGGAGTATTTGGCCCACAAGCAAATCGTGGAATGTTTTTCTTTTTATAAAGATAATTGTGCCGCGACTTGTTTGGCCCAGAGTCTGAACTCAGACGAGTGTGAAATATAATATCTAATATCTAATATGAAACAAAGAAGAAAGAGTCGAGAACAAGTGGTCACCACAGGCCTTTAATAAGGCCCCAACGTTAGTCCGATTCTCTGTAGCATAATAAGAATCCGATCGAACTCGTCGGACAAAGTTTGTTGAAAATTAATTAGGGAGAACATATTGATCAATCGGATGAGTGAGTTCAAATTCGAATTTCGTTTAATTGGGCTTACTGAAATTGCCTACATAATATGGTTTATATACATAATCAAAACGAAACTAATCCCTTGGTAACCTGATTTTGACAGTGAAACGAGCATGCGATAATGTCTGTTGTGGCTTTGATCAGTCAAATAGTGATGTACGTGTGCATGTGAACTCACTCCAATGAGTTGAGCACCCTGCCGCCTGTCTCTTGGACACTTAAAGGTCTCATACCATCTGTACCAAAGTGTGACAGTGTTTCCGGAGTCGGACCCGTTCGTCGATCTGTGGAAGCGGACTCGGACAAACGAGGCGGACAAACCGTGCCCCGTAAAGGAATATCGAATGAACCCATTTCAGCGTGCTTTTGTTGTGCCAATTGAGTAAATTCATTGGAATCCCGTCCAAAGGGAGCGCCATCACCGCTGTCTGCGATGGATTCCACACCGCCGCCGCCACCACCACCACCATCGGCGCCACCTGCACCACCACCAACCCCACCGCCACTACTGCTACTGCTGTTCGGTGTACGATCGGCTGATGCAGCCCAAATGCGGGAACAGTGATCTTCCAAAATAGCCTACGGGAAGGAGACGAAGAGTGTATGTGAGAACGGGAATAANGGAATAAAAACCGATCAAACTGCATAGCTTTGACTAGTTGTTCAACTGTAAAATGTGATTAAAATAAAAACTGTGAGCGTTTAATACATTGGATAACTCGACAAAAAATTGAAAGTTGATAAAACGCAGGACGGGACCACCGGGACAGAGGTAACTTGTTAGGCACAATAGTTACTGCAGGTGTTTGTTGCATAAGTAAATAGAAAATGAAAAACGGTCTTATCAGTTGTTCGGTAGTCGAGCAGGTATCATGCATGCGTTCTGCCGGTAAGGTCTGGGGTTCGCGATCTCCAGTTGGGTCGATGGATTCGCACTACTGCTGCGGAGACTAAACCTGATTAAAACAGCTGTCCAATGCTTCCTAGCTTTTCCGTTAATGCTTCATTTGTGTGTGTTTCAAACCCCCTGCCACGCTAGTGTGGTACGTGTGAGGTCAGAAAGTGAAACAAACACCATTAAATTCACATGTGATGGAAATGTTTGTGATAACCGACAAAGAGCACTGGACAGCTGTTTTGTCCTGTTTGGAACTCGTCAGCAATGCGTACTTTGTGTCCCAGTCAGGACTTGAACAGCGATCAGTCGGGTTGAGACTTAAAACCTTTGACACTGAGCTACACGGTCTACGGTCATCACCTTGTGCGAATGGCTCGATCAAAAATAAAGCATCATTACTCACTGGCGACTACCAATAGAAACGCACTAGTTGGGAATCTGAAAAGCTGTTGAATTTCGTGGTCTCACTGACAACGGTTGGTGTCGGTAACGAACCGAACAATGAGAGGCCGCTCCGGTTGGTCTGCTTTACTTTTTTCAGTCAAAGGGTCAATCGAGTTTAACTTATTGACAGTTATATATATAGTCCAGTCATTCACATACTACTTACTATCACATATTCTACCAAGACCATCAGGTCACGTTTCTTGCGGTTAGTAGCATCTAACCCACTTACAAAACATCCAATCGTAGCACTGATTCTTCATTGGACTGGCTCTGAAAGAGCTGTCTACACAAAATTATCCTGTGTAATAAATGAGGTTATTGTGACGAAAATACACTTCCTGGGTACAAGCATATGAATGAACTGACGAAAGATTAACCGGATACGCATGCCTGACGAGCGGCAAGAACCGCGAAACCGGTCGTATGCTTCCAGGGAACTTTTGTCCAGTCATTCACATACTACTTCTTATGAAATATATATATATATATATTCATACACGTCTGAATCCAGACTGTGCCAAACAAATCACGAAACAATAATCTTTAAAAAAAAGAAAAGTTTCATGAATACTGCTAGATTGCCCAAGTCAATGTCAGGTGAATTTTCTTAAAGATTCCGCAACCGGAGTATTCGGCTAGCTAAAGCCTGACCCACAAGGCAGAGGGGTGATGTGCAAAAACCACAATCCATTGGGAGTTGGTGTCCGGTTCATCGGATCATACGCCTTCAGACGGGGTCAAACGTCCGAGGTGACCAATACACCACGATGCCCAATCGAGCCAGCGACCATTGCCACAACCGGAAAGGTGGTTCATAGGCCTCTTCTTGGTTGGTTTAGAATCAGGGATTTTGGCCTTAGGTGAATTACCGGTGGCCAACCAACCCAGTTATAGCTCCGGATATCGGCTATTCATCCTCTCACTTTGGTGGAAAAACACCTCCGACACGAGAAGGCAGAGAGTAGGGCTTCCTCAGCAGTGGCCACATGAAACACTCGGTCGTACGAGAGCATTTCATGAGGTGACCAGCAGCAACACTGGACACCCACCGCCGATCATAATGAGGCGTTTTTGTTCACAGTAAACTTCTTCCAAAGCAAAGACGATTACTTTTCTAGTCAAATTTGGGGGTTGGGGTGGAATGATTCATTTCAAATAAAAATGGAACCAAACTAAGACGTTCAAAGTGTGGCGACATTTTGCTACAATCAGAAACAATAGTTTGCAAAGCTAAAAACGAGATTTGAGTAAATTGTTCACAAGAGAATACAAATGGATCACAACAATTGTGATGCACAAAAGAGCAAAACAGTTTTTCTGGCAAACTATAAATGCGTGAGTATATGATTGAATGACTATACGCGTGTCACGCGCAACAACAGACGGAAAAGAAAGCGCAAAAATGTAAAGTGATTAGGCGAAACTCTGATCGAAATCAGATAGATTGAAAGTATTCGGAGGAGGACGCGTTCCAGTGTATGGGTCGGCAGAGAAAACGGAAGGTAAAATGGAGAGAAATTACGGGCTGATCAACGAAGGAGGAAAGGGGTGCGGGTTAACTGTAAGTCAAGATGAACGGGACCGTGGTCTACGTCTGAGAGCAATGACGTGCTTTTGTTCTGTACAAGAAAATTAGAAGGCTAAGAATGTTGAACGAAATGAAAGTACGAGGGGGAAAGCATCGATCAATTTTATTCCCTCTGCAAACAATTTTGTTATTGTTTTGTGAAAGAACATAGCTCACTTTCAGCCCCGTTAGTCAGCAACAATGACAAAAAATGCTGTGACGTTCAGGGCCATCAAAATCTCCATGCATAGTTAGCGTTTCAACATACACAAATAAACCGATCGTGTGAAAAACATACGTATATATATTTTTTCATTTTTATTAAATTTACAATTATCAGGAAGGGGGAGGCGGCCAGTCAAAGGGCTGTCATATAACAAATAATGAGGGAAGTCAGGCGGCGTTGGTAAGATTTAAACACACGTCCTCCGGGCTGATAATTTGGTGACGTTACCACCACGAAAACCAAGGCCTTGACATTTTTTCATGTACAGAGTTCGGAAAAACACAGAACAGGGTTAACTTTAAGCCGATAGTGTAGTCAGCATTCTGGTCGGTTGGAAACATTAACGACTGGTGCAAAATGAACACCTCAAGCGACCGAAAAACACGATGTAGTTTCCATCTTTCTCTCTCTCGTTGTCACGCTTTTATGGTGGCTACCAGATCTTACGAAAGAACTACCGAAGACCACGAATGACAAATCGTAACAGGGTTGGAGGAGAGAAAACAAACACATTTGAGACTCAAATGTATCTGGTCGAACTGATGTGGCAGTTACACCGGTACGGATCCGCCAGGCCGATTCCAAGTAGGGGATTGGGCTACCATACAAGGAGTGTGTGGCAAACAGTAATTTGTCAGATTCCATCCGAGTGAGAAATACTGGTCATAAATGCAATAAACACGTCCTAAAGAAAGAATTCTACGCAACAACCAATTTTTCTGATTCTGCTTTTATTACACGCTTAGGCGTGTTGAACGGTACAAGAGATAAACCTTATGGCAAGGTGGACCGAATGCTTGCTTGTGGAATCTGGCACTGTAACTGGTAAAACACATAAGGCATTATTGGAACAGATGTGACATAATGTAGGCTGGTAGCCGAACTGCTACCTATCGTCAAATACACCGAGCGGAAAATCAAACCAAACCGGTTGAATAAAGTCGGCTTTTCGATTAGCCATTGACATCCACGGTGTTAAAGAGCTCGGCTACACATTACCACACATACATAGATGATTTCCGGACACCCTGTGAGAATATCAATCTATACCGCATCGCATGGTGTTAAACGGTGTACAAACAGGGTTTCTTGTAAGACAAACTTGTAATTGGCATGCAACACTGATAGCAAATAAAACTACTCAACCAACGCCATCCGAATCCGACCTTAAAAACGGCTAAGTGAAAAAGATGGAGTACCAGCGTGTGGGGATCATTGTACACAACGCATAGTGAGTGATTCGTGAGTTTGGGAGAAGGATCAAGCGGGATTACAGTTATGTTCTTTCAAATGTTACCATTTAGCAATATTCCGATATCCCATAACACCAATTAAATGATGTGGGGTCTTCATAGTTCATGTGGACCGCGATTCACGCCCTTGTATTATCCCGAGCATAAATGAAGATACCGATCAGCGGAAGAATACAGAAATTTGGGTCACGTAAACCGGTTAGGGTAGCTGAAACGCGGTCCGGAAAGCCATACGTCTTTATTTATGTATTTATTAGCTTAGCACGGGAGTCTTGAGGGATGGCTCTGAGAGATTCACTCTTCATCCTATAAACTAATTTTCATTAGTAGTAGTGGTAAAAATCCACAAAGCAGTCCTGGGATGAGGAAAGTTGTTTATTACGAATGACGGTAAGGGTATTGGCAAACTGGCTTAGATCCAATAAAATGTCTCGTTTGAAACAAGTGACCATGACTCTCACAAGCAGGCAGGACAATAAATGGAGCAGTCTGGTAGTAGACACGCGTCTGTTGTAGTTACAATTTTGAATACAGCAATTCGCTCTAGGAGTTCTCGTTTATTTTTAACTGTTATGAGAAACCGCCAATGGTATCCTTCTGAGCGCTCTAATAATACTTCTCATAAATTAGAGTAGTAACTCACAACAGTAGTACATTTCAGGGTTATCTGGGTTCAGATAGTAATTCAAACAGGGTGTGGCACGAGTACCCCTAAAAAAAACACTGTTTTTCAACGGATGCCATACTTCTATGCCACCTAGACAGGTTGAATCTCTCGAAGAATCAAAACCAGAACCTTTGGCTAGACAAGACCTATCCCGTAAGACAGTGGATCGCCGTGAGTAAACCGCAGCGCGTTTAAGTCGGTGTCGAGCCAGTCGGAGTTGATGTCCTGGAGATATGGCTCATTTCTCTCAAGTGCCCAATACGTTCAACCGAGTCAATTGATTTGCTCACTTTTGAAAGGAAACCACGTTTCGTTTTATTGTGTTGGCAAACACCTGATCGTATATACGCATAGGCTATGTACAATTGTACCCTGTAGGTCAAAGACTACTGTGAATATATGGTCAGCGAGCCTGTACGTCAGCGGATACGTTTCCGTACTGCAGACAGCAGGACAATCAGTAAATGTGGTTAACCATGAATTGGTAGACATTGTTTGATTGTAAAAACTTGAAATTTTTCAAGGGTTAGCAAAATCAACTGGAATTATTTTAGTATTTATTAGAAGTATAAAGCGAAATAGCAAAGAGAAACCGCACAGCAGTACAGAAAGAATAAACAATTCATAGACTGCTCCGATTTAGGCGACTAGGGCTAAAACGCTAGGCGGTAAAAATGTAGGCAAGCTAAGGAAAACAATTATTTACAACTGTGTTTCTCGAATTCCGAGACGGTAGACTGGACGTGTTGTCCAGTTCCAACCTGTTTCGTGAATCAGACAGTTAATGGTCGTACCTGAGCATTATCACGAGTATTGTCTTGCTGGGACCGAGCGGCGGCAAGCAGACGATCAGCCCACGGTCTTTGCAACAACGCTGAAGCTGTGATCGCTGTCTGGGAACGCACAGCGTCCGTGGTAGTAGTAGTAGTCACAAATGCGGCACTGACTGTGGTGGTCGTGCTGGTGATCCTCGAGTCTGTGACAGTAGATGTCAAGTGATCCGACTGTGGGACATCAAGTGAACCCGTCGCCGATTGAAGATCAAGACTAACCGGTTCACTGGCAGAATGACCAGCATTGGGACTAGCCTGAAAAAGATAATAATAATGTTGGAGTGACATCCGATGCTTCAGTCGTATTTAATTGGCAGGCAGAAATGAGCAATGTGAAACGAATCAATTAAATCGTGGTGGAAAAGCCATTGTCTGTGGGAAATAAATTCGTACAACTGTCAGAATTATAAATAAATTGAGAATGGATGATGTACATGCTTGGTCAATCAATTACCGCGTTTACCTTATATGGGTATACATTTGATTCAACCTAGCATAATCATCATCACCGTATTCATTATGCAAGCGAATAAAGACTAAATTCAGTTGACCGGGGGGCAAAAGTGATCTGGCATATTGCTCGCAACGGGGTGCAACAGACTGGGACACTTTATACGTCGCGGTAGCCCACACTGATGAAAGAGTGCTTTTGACAAACCAGATCCGAACCTTTGACTCAAAAGTCTGACTTGCAAGGCAGCGAGAATTTGCGAATCTTTTCTTGAACAACCTTAGACGGAGACTTCCACTCAAAAGTCTGACCCACAAGGCAGTGGGGCGTAGATCCAACACGAGGACGTGATCAAAGCATCTGCTAAGGGGAACTTCTAAAAATTTGTCAAACAAGGTCTTCGGGTTTTGGTAGAGTGTGTTGTTTGCCGGTGCGTTAATTGACGGTCCATTGTTCCGAATCAGCCCTTATTCTCCAGCACCTAAAGATAACATGGACGATACAGTACCTTATTGGTTGAGGGCTGCCAAGCTTGGGGGGAGGGGACGGTAACTATTCGATGAAGTACTTATACTGCTACCGGGAGGAAGCCTCAGGTACCCCGATCATACGTCCACTAGTGAATATTTTTTCACCAGCGAACTGCTTCTCCTTTATTTGCTGGAGTGACCTCTCCCGGAACGGAAGTGAATCATCAAAGAATGCCAGGTGTCCAATTAGCTGGCCTTGTGAAACTGAACCATTCATACATGGTTGGATCTGTGGCTCTGAAAAGCCATCCTGTATAGCTCACGATGAGATATATAAATATATTGCCCTGGAAGCAGACGACCGGTTTCGCGGTTCTTACCGCGTGTGAGGCATGCGTACGAGGTAATCTTCGTTCGTTTATTTGTGCCCAGGAAATATCTTTTCGTCACAATAACCTCATTTATTACACAGGATAATTTTGTGTAGACAGCTCTTTCAGAACCAGTCCGCTGATGAATCAAGACTACCGTGAATCGATGTTTGTAGGTGAGTTAGATGCTCAAACGACGCTCAAGTCACATGTGTTGCGGTTAAGAGCATCCAACTTACCTACAAAACATCGAATCATAGTGGGATTGATTAATCAACGGACTGGTTCTGAAAGAAATGCTCACGCAAATGAGGTTCTCTTGTGAGGTGCCTCATAAGAAAAGTAGGTTCAACCGGATGTGAATTATCGAAGTGGGGATCCGAGATGCTCTGATTGGGAAGGGCCAAGAGCGAGTCCGGTAAGTCAAGGCAGGAAACGTCAGAGAACGAAATTAAACATTATGTTTGTGTGGTTGAGAGGCACGAAAATGAACTGTGTGCATGAATGCCCTAAGTAAATGC